CTGTTTTAGATTTCATTGACCGAAAAAGTCATGTTTTGGTTTGACCACCACTGGCTAGCTCTTTTCCAACCTGACCCTATATCAGTCTAGGCGTGCAGGCGTCTAGTACTACACATCCCAGCCCACGCAGAAACTATGAGATTTCCCGCGGTGTATGCATGCCTTGGTGCCCATACATAATGTGTAGATTTTGCAAGTCAGTTGACGTCATAAAGCTGACCTCCAGTGTTACATGCATATATATATATATATATATATATATATATATATATATATATATATATATATATGTTATTACTATTATTAAACGAGATAACGAACTCATTTCAATTACGTGTGCATTTACCCTTTTAAAAACGCACACTTTTAATATTTATATATAACACATCTATTTTAGGAATATACGCGTGTATTCAGAAAATATACTTGAAACAAAAAGTGCTATCATATGCATGAATTTTCACGTGAGAGAAGAGAAGACACCCTATATATATTGTAAAAAATACACACAATATCCATGAAATTATTGTATACAATGAATATATTATTATTATATCCTTTAATTCCTAGAGGAACATACGGCTACAGCTGCGCGTCTCCATTGCCTACGGTTTTCTGCCAACTTTTTCACCCCTCTCCAAGTCTGCCCACATGCTTTCATCTCCCCTTCACATGACCTCCTCCAAATTACCCTTGGACGACCGACTCGCCGCTCCCCTTTCGAGTTTTACTCGAGCGACGGCTTGTCTAGTGATGTCACTTGATGGTTTCCTCAGAGTATGACCAGCCAATCCATCTCCATTTCTTCCTGCCTATTTGTTTCACAATCGGTTCCTGATAGGTTGGTTCGCACATTGCCAGAGATCCCTGTTGCTGATCTTTCCTGGCCGGCCATCTGATCTTGAGTGGTACTGAGCGAAGACAGCTGTTGATGAAGGTCTGTAGTTTGTTTGAGGAGCTTTTTATGACGCGCAGTGCACGTCTCTGATCCTTATAGTAGCACTGACTGACTTCACATTGGAGTTGAAAATCCGGATCTTATTTTTTACGCTGAGTAGTACTGTTGACCTTCACACAGACTAAAGAGTAATGAAAGCTTGTCTTGCTTTTCTGATTCTGGCTTTGATATCCTCGTCAGTTCCGCCTGTAGTTGAAACGATACTTCCCAGGTGGAGTAGGTAGGTAAAAGAGGTTGTTTCTTTCAGGTTCCTCCCATTTATGCTGGCTGATTGTTGTCTGTCATGGTTGTTTCTGTTGCTATTGGCCAGGAATCTTCATCACCTCTGTCTCCACCTTCTTTATTTGACATCTGAAGTCCTATCTTTGATGCTTCTTCTGCCAGCTTGTTGCTTTTCATTCGAATATCTTCCAGTTTGTGGGAAATCAGACATATATATCATCGGCAAAGTCTAGATCCTCCAAGTTTTTTGTGTGAGTTCATTTTTATATTTGATATTTATTGATCATTTTCTATTGACTTGGATTTTAAACCTTGTGGTCACAGCTGTCCAGTACTCCCAGGTTTTCCAATGGTTCTATAACTGATGTCAGCTGATGATGAAATCCTGTAACCGATCAATCAAATCCCTACAAACGAATACTTGATTACTTTTTATTACTTGGTATATTTCGTCTTTATTAACGTGTTTGTTAATTGCACTTTCGTTTGAGTACCAGGGCTTCTAGGAATTTCCTGACTGCACTTTTGATGTTTCGACTGTCTAAGATTTCGACATTATCCCTAATCAAATTGATGACCATAATTGTCTATATGCATTGATATGAAACGGGAATATATATCGTGTCTTTTCACGGCTGATTTGTGTTCTTGGATTCTAATTCAAAGGCGACGCCCACTTAGTTGACCGATCTAATGTCTGTTACAGTTCATGAATGCAATTTATTTTGTAAATGGTATTAATTTTATCCCCTTTTTCTGTTGGATCCTTCGGTTTGCATAATAGTGAATTAAGCGATTTGACTGGCTGGCTTGTGTGCTATAATTATATCAAACGGTTTCAGTATTCTAGCTGTTATTTCCGAGATGTTTCTCATGTATGATAGGATTAATTTTCTTCTGGTCTTTGATGATGGTTTCTTGTTGGTGCTGTTGTGATTCGACTTTAAACACTTTTTGATGAAATTGTGACGCAGATATCCATTCTTTTCAAAGACCGTTTGTAGGTAGTTTTCTTCTATTCTTTTCAACTCTGGAGTGCTACAATGTGTGTTTGAACTCTTCTAAACAATGTCTGCACATAGTTTCTTTTGTGAGTGAGTAATTGGATTATTGCTAGTATAGTTGAGTATTTGATATGTGTGTGCGTTGATTTTCTATATACATTTGTGTCTCTAAGTTTCCTGTGTTGGTTCTCCTGATTAAGACATCTAAAAATGAGATTTTGTTATGTAATTCTTCTTCTCTCGTGGTGAATTTGATGTCTTCAAATATGTTGTTTATTAATTTATGGGTATATTCCAAATCATTTCTCTTAATTATTAAAAATGTATCATCAAAGTAACGCATATATATAATCGATCAATTCATCCGTTTTATCAAAGGCTGATTTGACTGTGCACATGTTCACACTCAAATACTATCATTCCAAAGCTGCATACTAATGAGAGCTGGCTGTTAGTCAAAATTGGTGGACAGCAATTTACGTCAATGTTTATGTCCTCAATATTGGTCGTGAGAAAAGTGAGGACAAAGGCTTTGCGTAGGCGGATACAGTTAACATATAGATGATCTGACATTCAAAAAACAGTCACAAAGAGATGCAAGGTAAACTTTCTGTGAGAAACAACCAACAGTTAGAAGACTGTGTTTTTCTGCTAAGAATGATCTATAATAATGTACACGAAAATCTATAAATATGTGTTGATTTCCTTAATACATGATCTGTTGCCTAGCTCTTGTCTTCTGTTGTTACAATAGTAGTGTAAGGAGAAGTAGTGGTAGCCTCGTCTAGATTACTAGCTCGCTAGTTTCCTAGCCGATCCCAAGCCCGGATAAAGAGGAAGGGTTGGGGCGTGGTGCTAGCAACTCCACCCCCCCCCCAAAAAAAAAACTTAACCAAATTGCTACAGAAACACTTCAACGCATAAATATATTTTTTTAAAATAATAAAAATATAAACAAAAACCTTATAATTTCGCTTCCTTCGATGAAAGCACAATAAAAAAATTGGGGATGTGGAATGTTCGTACAATAATGTACAAAGCTGGAAAGGCTGCCCAGGTAGCCGCAGAAATGAGAAGATATGGAAGAGAAGTGTTGGGAATCTGCAAGAGCAGATGGAATGAATGTGGAAGGTGCCAACTATCAACTGAAGAGAGACAGTAATCTATTCCACTCAACCCAGGGGACAACTTGAAGCCCTATGTTCCACTAGGAACCCAAGGTAATAATAATAACAATAAGTAGAAGTAGTGAAATAATGATCAGGCATGGTCATGAGTTGACATCAGTTGCAGAACCACTGGATAATCCACGAGTACTGGACAGCTGTCTCGTCCTACTTTGAGACTCCGCCCATCATCAGCACACAACCATTGAGATTCAAATCCAGGACCTTGAACTGAGAAGTCGTACTACCCAGCGAAGCCGCCAACCATGTCAGGTAACAAAATAATCACTCTCACCTACGACATTGGCTGGCGGTCGATCTATATATGTTGCGAAATGGCGGATATTGGATCAGGTCTCAGTGGCTAAATGCCCTACAAGTTTGGCTTATAACCGGAGAGTGTTGGGGTCGAACACCTATCTGTCTGTCTGTTTTCGACATAGAACCCTCAACTGATGTGCAGCAGTTCAAGTCGCCACACTCACTCCATGTAGCACATAAAGCAATAGTGAAAAGTAGAAGAAATGCATTATAGGGACAGTAAACACAGGTGTAAGACAAAGGAATAGTAATAAAGAAGAACAATATAATTTCATTGGAAATTATAAGTCACAAGGAGTGGATGCATCTGCGCCTGCTATTGCAAAAGATTCTGAGCCATATCACCAATTGTCTCCAGCCTTCATTGGTTTTTACCGTCCCGAGGACTCCAACCAGTGAGGAAGTCTACACATTCCTACGTGGCTAGCTTAAACTAACTGTTGTGGATTTCACTGATTGATGAAGACATGTTTTGGTTTGACCGTCGCTGGCTAGCTGTTTTCCAGCCTGACCCTATATCAGCTAACATTTCCCGTAGAGGAAGGCGATGACTAGGCATACGTAACACATGCCCTAACCACCTCAGTCGATGCAACTTCACAACCTCGTCAATTGATTTCCCTCCAACTCACCTAGCACACATTCGACACTTAACCTAAATATTGCTCACCCTATTATACCACCATCTGACACGGGAGATAGAACACATGTATCTATCATCAAAGACAGTCATCTAGGCGTTTCATGTCTTCCACTCTCAATGACTACGTCTCACTCACAGCTACTAAGGAGGACCGAGCGGACTTCTGAGCAGTACACCTGCCCTTTAGTCGATAGCCAGTCGGATATCGCGTCTACTAAGCTAGAGATGGCGTAAACTCGCATATGCTATACTAGCCCTGAGATTTCGTCAGAGATCAACCAGTTAGGACTGATGCAACTTCCCGAATAAGTGAAGCGGTCAACACTCTTTACCACCACTTCACTCCCTATTTCAAAACTAGGAACGAGTCAGTGTAGTTCAGTTCGGTACCATCATCTTATATTTGACGGGAGCGAATCGCGTGGCAGACATTCGTAGATTGCAGCTCAAGGTGTTCAGAAGACTCTACTGGTTTTTGTCAGCGTCCTTGTCTAGAAGGACTATATCGAACCCCTGTAGGTGAGTGCGTACTGCTGATGGAGAGCTACAAAAAGCCAGGACGAAAAATCTGTCTTCTAATAGTTCTTTAAGTAACGTCAACTACTCGTGATCAAAATTTGTTTATATCAATCGATCGGTAGAATAAGGTCAAAATATCATATATGTTATATAAATAACTAAATTACCTGTTGTTTGCTGAACCCCATAGCCATCATCATTTCAATTGAGTTTTCATCAATACCAGACTCATCATCGGAGGAAATTTTAAATCGTTTATTCCTATCCTGTTGTTGTTGCTGTTGGCCATGATGTTCACCTGAACTCGGTATTGGATCATTTAAATCTGGATCGTCCAAGTGTTCCATTAACCAATTTGTAGCATTCTCAACACCACTATTCTGAGTAAATTTACACGCTTTGTATACAGCCTCAAAACTGAAACCCATCGATAATAATTGATCGACAATACTTGTATCCGGTCGAAAATGATCATCGACGGATGACGCTTGTTGTTCAGCTAATAAGTCAATATTTTAAGAAATAAAAAGGAACAAAATATAAAAAAATTTAAGAGTTCGTTTGTAGGGATTTGATTGACTGGTTACAGAATGTTCAGTGTTGCAGATACGCCTCGCTGACTGGTGAGTGCCATCTACTAGCACGAAACCCAGATGTATCAGGACTACCTATCGATTGCCTCTAACCACCTAATATCGACAATGCACAGTGTATCATCATTATGGCAAGTCACCTAGTGACATGACGACCACATACATTACAAACTTGACTGATTTGGTAAGCACACTGCCACCAGTGAACTATCGACGCACACACACACACACACACACACACACACAAGCGGCAAAAATCAATAAAAGGCTGATATACTATATGCAAAACCTAATTTAATTCTAATAAGGAAAAATTATTATTATTATTATTACTATTATTATTTCCTTTAATTTCTAGAGGAACACAGGGCTTCAGCCTCGCGTCTCCATTACGTTTGGTTCTCTGACAACGTTTTCACCTGGCTCTAAGTCTGCCCACATATTTTCATCTCCTCTTCACGTGACCCTGACCAAATTACCCTTGGACGACCGACTCGCCGTTCCCCTTTCAGGTTCCACTCAAGGACTTGTCTAGTGATGTCACTTGATGGTTTCCTCAGAGTATGACCAGCCAATCCATCTCCATTTCTTCCTGCCTATTTGTTTCACAATCGGTTCCTGCTGTGTTGACTCGCTCCCAGAGATCCCTCCCTGTTGCTGATGTTTTCTGGCCAGCCATCTGATCTTGAGTATTGAGCGAAGACAGCTGTTGATGAAGTTCTGTAGTTTGTTTGAGGTGCTTTTTATGACGCGCAGTGCAAGTTTCTGATCCGTATAGTGTCACTGACTGACTTCACATTGGAGTTGAAAATCCGTATCTTATTTTTCATGCTGACTAGTACTGTTGACCTTCACGCAGACTTAAGAGTAATGAAAGCTTGTCTTGCTTTCCCGACCCCCGATTTGATATCCTCATCAGTTCATTCCGCCTGTGTTTGAAACGATACTTCCCAGGTAGAGTAAGTAAAGGAAGTTGCTTTTTTCAGATTTCTCCAATTTATGCTGATTGTTGTCTGTCATGTTTGTTGCCGTTGCTGTTGGCCAGGAATCTTCATCACCTCTGTCTCCACCTTCCCTATTTCACACCTGAAGTCCTATCTTCTCTGGATGCTTCTTCTGTCAACTTGTCGCTTTTCATCATTCGAATATCTTCCAGTTTGTGGGAAATCAGACATATATATCATCGGCGAAGTCTAGATCCTCCAAGTTCTTTGTGTGAGTCCATTTTATAATAATAATAATAGCCAACTTACGGTTAATTTCTTCACCAGTGGGCATTAACTGTTCCCCAGGCATAGGTCTTGGTCCATTCGGTGCACGTAAACTGCTCAGATCAATATACCATTCAGAATTAATATTATTAATATTTCCACTTTGCGAAGTTTTCTGCATCAATTCAATTTCAACATCCAATTTCTTTGGTAACCAATCACTGCCGACAGTGAATCTTCCTACTTGTATGCATAGATAACTTGGAAAGTTAGTTAAACGATTACACCGAAGCGCGTATGTTTTAGCTCCAGGTGGCTGACTTGCTGGTGTCTTAAAGTCAGCGATTTGTTCTGTTTCAGCCCAAGCAGATAGACAAGCCTTTGGAGAGAAAAAAAATATGAATATAAATAAATAAACATTTATTTATTTATGTATTTATTTTTAATTTTATTACAGCTTGATTCCACTCAGTATATTTGGTACAAGTATGAAATTTTCAGCATGTGATATCTATCGATAGCTCAAATTTAGCAGGTCAACCATTGATATCAGGTGTGCATCGGCCGGGTATCGAACTCCGGACAATGTGCATGGTCGGCGAACGTCCTAACCGCTGTGCCACCGACGCACACGTTTGTGATTGTATGTGATTGTAAACATATTCAATACAAATGAAAATATATTTGACATTATAATACTATGCTTGCCAGCTATGCGCAAGAGGCTTAGGGTTCGATTCCCGACCGAGGTGAACACCTAACTAAACCTCACCCCCACTATCAGGTGGTAGATTAGGCAGGAAAACAGGGAAGGTTGGGTGTGAGACTAACTAATCCCATTCCGCAAAAAATAACACCAATAATCCACAAAGTCTGAAGCCCGACGTTTCACTCGAAATGCGAACGACAACATAATCACTTCCCGTCTGAATAGGTTAGTGGTGACTTCTCTGACCGTAGTACTGGCTGACGCGAGTTTGAATCCTTAAGGGCGATGGGAGGGTCGGGGGGGCTACCAGTTGTTGCTTAAAGGTTGGGAATACGGCTTGCTAACGAGTGTCATCAAAACAGCACGAAACGTGGGTAGTCATGATTTGGGGGCTTTCCTTCCATCGCCTAGAAAGCTTGATGACAACACTGTGAACTTGACTGAAAGAGTTCAGTCAGCACAGCTAAGGCATAGACACACACACACACACCTGACGATGGTTACACCCCAGTATTCAATCAATATAAGCATTTTGTGATTGACACTATAAGCGAAGATTCGCAGTTTGTTCAAATTACAACTTACATTTAGCTAATTGTGACGACTTGAAATATTCCTTCAAGTTCCCGGTGGAACATAGGGCGCCTCCAAGCTAGAGGCTTGAAGATTCTGTAACAGTAGTGTTTATTTTTATAGGATGGGCTTGCCAGCCACCTCATGTTGAACCTTTCCTCTTAACCAATCTTATTACTGGGTAAGTGAGGTAAAGGAGTGCGTTGGCGGCCGGGGATCGAACCCCGAACCATGTGCATGGTCGGAACCTATTACCAGACAAATTTACAGAAGAAGGATATGGAGAAGGAATAGACATGCGCCGAGAAAACCATCGAGTTACATCGTACGCCGGGCAAACACTGGAGTGAAATATGAATGGGAAGCGTTAACTTGGGTATCCAAGGGTGACATGGAGAAGATCACGTGATGAACAGGAAATGAAGGTGTGTGGATAGTTGTGGAGCGTGCTTAATAAAAAAAGGAGACACGGAACAATGTACAACAGAGATGAGATGTACTGTTGAAGCCCTATGTACCATTCGGAACCAAAAAAACGAATAATAACAATGTTAAAAATCATTAAAAACATGTAAAAAAAGAAGCTCATCACTGTCATGTGGTTTTCGATTGATTGATGATAGAAACTAGCAGTGGAGTCTAGATGCGTGTTTCATCCCATTTGGAGCTTCATCAATCTGAGTGATGGTGTACCCTACTGAGACACACACCTCGCTTTAAACGCCTAGACGTTGTTCAACGAAAGCCACCTCTTGTGAAATAAGTGTAAGTTATTATTATTATTATTATTATTGCATGGAGGATTTCACCATGAGCTGACATCAGTTAGAAAACCACTGGAAAACCTGAGAGTACTGGGCAGCTGTTTCGTCTTAGTTTGGGACTCTTCAGAAGTGGTTCTTTAATTGATGTCAGCTCATGATGAAATCCTCTAACCAGTCAAACAAAATCCCCACAAAGCCAATACTTGAAAATTAATCTGATGCTCACTAGTAACTGGCCCTATTCAGGCAGTTAACCTGGGGTTCTAGTGGGAAGCCGTGACCAGCAGAGTACAGCGGGTTGAAGCTGCGGCAGTAACTCATCGAAGAAGACATTGCGACGAGTCGCGTTATGTCGTGAATCGTCAGAAGTTAAGATTCATTGGCTGGTCATCGATTCGGGTCCTAGTGAATGGCTTAATGGTCTACGAGCTAACCAGCCTTGGAACCAGGTGGTGGAGGGTGCGAACTGATGAAGAGCTCCAAAGTAGGCTGGCGAAACAGCCGTCCAGTACACCCTGAGTTAAGTTAAAGAATAATCCCTTATCATACTTACTTCTATAGGAATAACTGGTCGTACAACATCTTCAGGCGGTAAACGTATACCGTTTAGCTCAGCTTCAATACGTCGTTTTTCATACGCATCGATTTCTTTTTGATTTTTAACCGCTTCCATTGGCACAGGTACAGAGAGTATCCATTCATGTTCTGTTTTATAGGAAACCTATTCATACACGGCAAAAATAGGCAGAGCATTATTATTCAATGAGAAAACTTTGATATATGTATACGCTTTCAAGGAATTATCAAAGAAAAAAGGAATATTAGTTCAAACATTCTATAAAAATAAAGAATACGACAAATTATAAGTATAAAACTTGAGTACTGTGGTAAAGTATAACTCCATTATGGATAAGACTTTATTTTGATAAATCACACAGTGGTGTTATACGGTAGTATTAACTGATGACCACTTCGCGAGCACAAACTATTGCGGCAAAGTTAAACTTTAGACACCACTAACAACCAATCAGCAAACGACCTCGAACGGATCAATCACATTAAAGAGGCATATATGATGAGTGGAAATGTATATTTGTAGAAAAAAGCATAAAATAGAGAATAAAAAAGTTACATGGGATATCTTTCTCGAACATGTGAGAGAAAAATCTCCCAGTTTAGCATGGGACTGTCAATGGAGAAGTTACACCATATCCTGTACATATATTCATCCAAATGACTATAAATGAGATCCTTTTGCGATACAATTATAGCCCTTATCCTATTTTCCAACCTGCCCCAAAATCCTTCATTAGAATTTGTATGTGTCCTGGTAACGGGATCCACAAAATCACTTGAATGGTTGTCTCTATGATGAATATATCCCAGAGATGACAGCGAATTGTAGCTTTTCCGTGCGTATAATTGACCCCCGCTTAACAATTCTAGTAACAATAGGCATAAAAGTAGTTGCTTTTCTATCTGCTATCCTTAGGGAGAGAAGCGACCTAGCGAAAAAAGTTCCTACGAGATAATAAAATTATCAGCATACCCTCTCTAGTGTCAGTAGGCTTCAAACATATAGCACAACGATGAACAAACCCATCAGTTGATTTGGTTTAGCTTTTTAAAGTCATGATACCACCACACAATCAAATTCGCTCTTTCGGGCGCAACTCAAATCTAGGAAATACTGGGAAACACTAACCTCCTCGAATTGCAACAATAGCCTTGTAGGGTCACGCATTAGAAATGAATCAAGCGCTATACAAATTGAACTGCGTTCGTGAACCTCATTGAATAATTCGACATCGTTCGTGAATCTCATTGGATAATTCGCTGATTGGTAGTTAGTGGTGTCGAAAGTTTAACTTCGCCACTATTGCCACTCACAATTATATCAAGTCACTCACTCACACAACTTTTTTCCTTCATTTATATACATGAGTGAAATTGATGATTAGACATTTGAACAAAAATCAATATGGGATAATGTACATTCAGAAATATTAATATGAGTGTTATTGATCGAATGCAATCATATGGGAAATGTGACGAGTATTTTTATAGTCATAACAAGCAATTTGTTAGAATGTTATGATGTACATGAATTGAATTGAAATAGAATTTTGAGATTATTTATTATCCTCCTATGATGTGACTGACTGACTGGTGGTAATAATATCTTCCATGCATATCTCGGGTATTTACATTGAGTCATTTCTGTTGCATGTGTTGTGTTGTGTGTAGACTCGATGAACCAGTCAGGATTCAGTAATCAATCTTGCTCGCTCTCCACCTACCTAGATTACTTTTTAGAATATTAACCCTCTCCCACCGTACTGTGTGGTTTTATATTGATGCATGCAGTGCTATGTAGTGGTGAGCTTTTTTCTAAATTATTTATCTTCTCGGGTAGGGTCAACCATTCTCACCTTAGCCATTAAATTCTTATGCTCCAACAATCTGATTACATCCGATCTATTAGTTTGACCTATGTAGTTGACTTAACTCATAGTCATTGCACGGCATTTTATAAATTACATTATTTTGTTTAATTGGGTCAACCCACTGAGTCTTTGAGTCTACAGAGCTTGTCCTTCCTGAGTGAGTTTGTAGGTTTGAATGCCACCCTAATTCATGCTTTATTCAGAATCCTACCACGTAGGGTCTTAGATATCCCCTTCTTATTTGGTAAAACCATTGTAGATGCCTTATATTCTCTCTTATTTATGTTATCATAACTAGTTTCACAATTATTTTTATTTTACTCTTAACCTTTTCTCATATTCCTAATGAATTTTATAGGATAGTTAGTTATTTAACATCAACGCCTATTCTATCTGTTTTATTTCATCATTTAGGTCTTTTCTTGTGCTACTTATTATTATATTATTGTTTCCTTTTGTAGCTAGAAGAATATAGGGCTTCAGCCACACGTCTTCATTGCGTTAAGTTCTCCGCTAACGTTTTCATCACCTGGTTCCATGTCTGTCCACATGCTTTTATCACATCTTCACATCAACTCCTTCTCCTCCACGTCAACCACGCACTGACAACCAACTCTCAACTTCCCATTTGGGTTCCACTAGAGCAACGGCCTGGCATGTGATGTCACTCACTTGATGGTTTGTTTTCTCAGAGTATGACCAACCAACCCACCTCCATTTCTTTCTGCATATTTGTTGTACAATCGGTTCCTGGTTGGTTCGCTCCCAGAGATCCCTGTTGTTGGCCATCTGATCTTGAGTAGTATTGAGCGAAAACAGCTAGCTGTTGATGAAGATGTGTAGTTTATCCGAAAAGGCCTTCGTGACGCGACGCGGCGTCAAGTCTCTGACTCGTATAGTAAGTAGCACTGATTGACTTCACATTGGAGTTGAAAATCCGGATCTTGTTTTCCATGCTGACTGCTGAGTGATGTTGACCTCCACACAGATATATCAGATAAGTTCATTTTGATATAACACACAGCGATATAGTATTAACCACTCGATGACGTTTCTAGGGTACCATTTATTGCTCATCATCTAGTATATGTACCCACAATTTATCTCATTAGTCTGTTAGTCACATATAAACAAATCACATGATGTCACATGATGGACGTCAAGCAATCAGAATCCAGCCTTATGACTGGATCAATATATGCTATATATTTCTGCAATTTGATTGGACAGTAATCAGTAACTACTCTGCACCAAACAAAGGACTAGAGACATTGTACTAGTTATTAACTAGTCTCCGATGAAAGTATCCAATAGACTCCTACAGGAGGTCAATCGCCAATTTGAATAACTCAGTGGTAACGTCTCAGACCACTGCAGCACTCACTGGGTGATGCCACTTCGATTCTCAGAATGGAAAGGTATTCCTCCATGGTTGCAGATACGCCTTTCTGACTGGTGAAAGTGCCAATTACTAGCATCAAACCTAAGTCGGATTAGGCTTCCTGGTGATTGCCTTCAACCATTTAGTAGTTTTGTACTTTTGGTCGCTTTTTTCTCTCGCTCACGTATTATGGAAATACACATTTTCAAGGTTTACTGGAATTTACTAGTTCCAGGGCCAGGGAATAATCGACTAGATAACACAATCATCAAGCGTTGGCTTAGTAGACGTGATGTCCAAATGAATGTCGATCAAAGGACATCTGTACTGAACAGCAGCAATTCGCTCCATCCTCTACAATCGACGTTAGTGAGACACGGCCACCATTGAAAGTCAAAGACATGAAAAGGCCGGTTAGCTGTCTTTCATCATAGGTGTCTCCGGTCTAACTCCTGTGTTAGGAAACACGATAGGGTGGGTATTATTGAGGTTAGGCGTTAAGTAAGTGTTATGTAAGTAGGGGAAGTAAGTCAACGAGGTACTGAAGTTACGTCGACTGAGACGGTTAGGAAATGTGTTACACATGTATGCCTAACCATTGATTGCCTTCCTCGATGATGGGCAATATTAGCTGATTGACATGAGATGGATCAGGTTGGAAAAGAGATAGCTAGTGGTGGTTAAACGAAAACATGGCTCTTCATCAGTCAATGAAATCCATAACAGTTAGTTTAAGCCACACACACACATATAGGGAGGTGTAGACTGGCTTGCTGATTGAGATCCTCGAGATTTTAAGAACGAATGAAGACTGGAGACAACTGGTGATATGACTCAAACTCATTGTTCTCAGTGGCTGGTGCACAGATGCATTCACTCCTTGTGACCTATTATATCTAATAAAACTATATATTGCTCTTCCAAATTACTATTTTTTTTCGCCTCATATTTCTGTTTATTATCTCTCTCTTTTGAACCTCTATTTACTCTCTTCTCTTACTTCGTGTACTACACAGAGGGAGAGTGGCAATTCGAACTACTGCACATCGGTGCAAAGTTCTACGTTGAAAGCAGTCAGTCAGTTAAAACCTGAAGACCTAACTGAAAACAACAATATTGTTCGCTTATATGTCTTGTACTAATATTTCACTATGATTACGAACTGATAAACTTGATTTAATACTCCGTAATAAGCTACCACGCAATTCTTCCACACCTGAACCGTGTTGAGAACTTGGGTAACTACATCAACAACAACAACAACAAAAATAGTAAGTAGGCATTTAAACTTAAAAAGGCTCACATTTTGTAAACGCAAAGTAACCGATAAGACTGTCTAACAACCCCCCCCCCACCAGATAATATCAGATGGTTGGACGTAATCCGCAGAAAACTTTGGACCTAGGTCAGCAAAGCGTATCTGCAACCTTGAAGGAACTCATGTCCAATAATGGCTGATTTTTTCCTCGCTAAGTTCGAGAATCGACCACTGAAAGGAGTAATTAGTAACTTGGATTTCTACTGTCCATACATATGGATGATACATTTGTGGTTATGAAAGACGAGAATGATGCAATGAACATCCTTGACAAGTTTAATGATACACATTCAGCAATAAACTTTACCATAGAGAAAGAAAGTAATGACAGTATCTCATACCTAGACGTCTTCATGGCGAGGAAAGAAGATGGCACACTAAGAAGGAGTGTGTACAGGAAACCTACTACAACAGGTCAGTACACTCATTTTTTGAGTTTTGTACCGTTGAAATATAAACGTAACCTGGTAGTGTCTTGTTCATAGATCTAGGTTAATCTGTTCAGACGACTGCCTCAATGCGGAGCTTAAGATTATTAAGGAACTGCTTAGAAAAAATGGTTATCCAGACAAGTTGATGGAGAAAAATATGAATTCAGCACCTAGGAGAGTCAGTACGGCAGCAGTTCCGAGAAAACCACTGTTCATAAAACTGCAGTTCCTCGGTGAAAACATCAGCGAAATAATAACAGCGCCTAAAGAATGAAGTTAAAATAGCTTATTATGCACCAGAAGTACGTTGTCTCTTCATAACCACCCTTATTCTACGTTCGAGATAAATAAGGATAAACCACCTAAGTTTGCCTCCTCTATGTGTATCTACCAGTTTGACTGCAGCTGCTACATTGGGCGTACAATTAGGCAGGTTCATCGTCGTATTTCCGAACATCATCCAATGTGGTTAAGTAAGGGAGGACAAACAAGATCTATTCGTGGCTCTATTGTAGCACACCTTGTAAATAGTGAGCATAAGGTTGACGTAAATACTACATTTAAAATTATCTATCGCATTCCTACTAATCTTAAACTTGCTCTACGAATTCGTCTCCTACATACAACTGAAGCAATAGGAATCCTCCTGAAGAATAGGCCAAACCCGTGTGTTCAGAAGAAATTTGTACAGACACTTTCCTTACCTTGGCCATCGTTACATGATTGTATAAACCGGACTACTTCATCCCTCTCCCCCTGAAATATTTTTTCTTTTTAAAAAACTATAAAAACCATAATTGTCCAAATTATTTTATTTTTCTGATTACTTCATCTTTAATTACGTGTTATCCTTGTAAAAATTATTTTAATCTTATGACCACTTCACCCTTAGTTACAAATTATCATTGTCCAAATTGTTTTATTTTCTTTGACAATCTGTTACGTCATCAAGTTGAGCACACGCTTATTCCTTAATTACTCCTTTTTTTCCAAAATTATGCATCATGCAATCCACGCGCTGTAACCACTTCTACTTTTTAATTGTGTGTATTAATTTTCTTCGTTAATTATCACCGCACTGTTTGACGTGTTGACACTGACTAATTATTGTTAACAAACATATCTGTGCCACTTGATGATTGGTAAACTGTTGTGTATTGTAATAAAAATGCTCAAGGTGTATATTAGAGTAGAGCCAGAGATGAGTAAATATTTCTTCGCTCAATCTTTCTGCCTTCTGAAATTTCTGTTGATTTCCCCCAACCACTATCTAATATCATCAAATCAATGTGCATCATGATGGCAAGCTACCTAGTGGCATGGTGGCCACATTACACACCTAACGACTGATAGAATCCAGTCTGCACCAAACAAAAAAGACTAGACATATCACACTAGTCACTGGCTAGTGTCCAATTAAAGTATCCACTATAGTCCTATAGGAGGTCAATCGCGGGCCCGAATAGCTCAGTGGTAACGTCTCAGACTACTGCAGCACTCACTGGGTGATGCGAATCCGAATCTCAGACAGGGGACATGAGTTCCTTCAAGGTTGCAGATACGTCTTCCTCGCTGACTGGTGAGTGCCAACTACTAGCAGGAAACCTAGGTGGTGTCCAAGGATTCCTTCCGATTGCCTCCAACCACCTAATATGAGCAAGTCAATGTACAACATGATGGCAAGCTACCTAGAATGGTTGCCGCAATCACACTAATCATTGTCTAGTGTCCAATCAAAGTAGCCACCATCACGTGAATTATGACTATGCTAACTGCTTTCAACCCAACAAAAAGAAGGAGCTATTAAACCAAAAACATATTAAAATTAACTAGTGTGTAAAAATGAAATATAAAACAAAAGAGCGGAAAATTTAAATCTTACCTTCTGGGTTAAACCACACTGTAGGCGTTCTTCAACACCGAAACGCATAACACCACTTGGATGCAAGTTACCGTGCTCCTTACCTTTCGCCTTTTGATCTAATAAATCCAAAAGGTAGATAAGAAATTCACAAGCATCTTGTTGTTGTTTTGTAGCAAATGTAGTGTTATGCATTCCCATTAGACGACGGAATAACAATGGACGAATACCTTTAGGTTGGATTGTTCGAGTGAAAAAAAAACAAAGAAAGAAAGAAAGAGGTGATTCATCAATAGAAAGCAGATAGGTAATATTACAAAACCTACTCTGGAGAGTTATACACACGGTAGACAGATTTTTCTTTTATTCCCTTACGTTCTCAGTGGAACATAGGGCCTCCAGTTAGAGACTTGAAGTTTCAGTAGCAGTGCTTTTTTGGTTCCAGGATTTCATCATGATCTGACACTGGTTAGAGGAGAACCCTTAGAAAACCTGGGAGTACTGGACAGTTGTTGCATCCTAGTTTGAGACTCCCTATCAGTACACACCCACACCACGGGGCGTTCGAACCCAGGAACTTCTGAATACAAGGTTGGCGAGCTAGCTCGTAGACACCATTAAGCCACTTACTGGGACCCGATTCAATGGCCAGCCAGTCCATGAATTCTAACTTCTGCCAATTTAATGATATAGCGCAAACACAAGCCAATGTCTACGGTGGCGAGTATTTGTCCTCACACCCGACCTGCTGCACCCTACTGGTCACGACTTCCCACTAGACCTACCTACCTACCGGAATAGGGCCAGTCGCCAGTGAGCAACTCATTAATGAAATCCTGCAACCAATCAATCAAGTCCCTACAAACGAATACTTGAATAGCAGTGGTTTTTACTTTTACGGAATGGGGTTGCTAGCCACCTTATGTCCAACCTTCCCTTCTTGACCAGTTTCATTACTGGCTTAGCGAGCGACGTAAAAGAGTGCGTTGGCGACCGGGGATCGAATCCCAGACCACATGAGGCGTGGTTGGCGAACAATCTACCGCTGTGCCACCGACACTGTTAGACATATACTTATATCTATAAAAAAAAACACAAAATAAATGTGAGCAAAGAATATCCTTTTCGATAATTTCCTCCTCTTCTAGCACTACAATTACAAATTCAGTTCCTTGGGGACACAGCATCAACGAGATACCAACACAACGCCTTAAAAATCCGGTAAAAAGAGAATTCCATGCAGCCGAATTACGCGAGCCGACCGAAAGCTGCTACCTTGACGTGGCGGTCGGGCTTGAACACCGCAATGTCCCAACAAGCTATACTGGCTGAGACTTATGTCGCTTGCGGTCCTACCATGCTAGAAAGTTTGTTTGGATAGCGGTTAGAAAAAAAGCAGGTACCCAATCCAATACTATAATTCAAACAAATTCACAAAATATCATGCCAGATCAGTCGGGGCCCAGATTAGCAACGACCGCACTTCCTGCTGCCGTGTCACAGGGCAGAAGTAATAAATATGCTACTGAGATACACCAAACAAAAAAGAACAAACAAAAACAGGCCGCGTGTGACCGGCCTCAAGTAGTTGTCCCCTGGGCTCTGCGGTCACGTAACACTCTCTCTGTTTCAGGTTCCCGAAGAATCAATCAATTTCCATGATGTGGGAAGCCGGGAAGTAACAACCGCCCATACACTTCCAAAAGCACACGAAGCCTTCCTGAAGATTACTCTTCCTTACTCACATCACCTTCCTCATCTAGCTTCTCTACTACAGTTAGTACTCTCCTGTAGGCTAGTGAGTCAGTCATCTTCACTTCACTCTGTGACCACAAACAACGGTGACAGCCATAGAAACACTCCAGATAGCCTTTTAAAGCCACGTCGCCAACTTCATATAAGAGCATTTAGCGTCAGGAACCTCTGCCAAATCGGACAACAGGCATCACTAGCAAGAACTCTGGCATCTCGAGCCATGCATGTATGTTGTGTTTCGGAGACACGCATACAAGACCCGAGTATGGTCATTCACCTAACCTCACCCGGTCAACAAGGTGAATCTTCAAAATTCACTTTAAGGGTGTCAGGAGACCCCTCAGCTGGCCCACGAGGACTTGCAGGAAAAATCAGTTCTTGACTGGATCCCAGTAGATAGTTGTATGTGTGCGGTTCGTCTAAATAAGTCCGTTAAAAGGAGGAAAGACGGTGCTACCCGTCGTTGCCTTTTCGTAGTCTCCCCTTACGCCTCAACAGACTGCAGTTCGGATGAACTAAAGGATGACTTCTACCTGAAACTGTCTAATTTGCTGCGAAAAGCAAAACGTTCAGATATAGTTGTTTTAGCAGGCGACTTCAATGCCCAAGTAGGGAAGTTGTGCCAGACTGAGAAGTATGTAGATGGTATGTGTGGAGTTCCCGACCGACGAACCGACAGCGGTGATGGTCTTCTACACATGTTAGACAGGTGTTTTTTATTCCTTTACGTTCCTAGTGGAACTTAGGACTTCAAGCTAGAGACTTGAAGTTTCGGTAGCAGTAGTGTTTACTTTTACAAGAGTGGGGTTGCTGCTGGCCTCATGTCCAACCTTCCCTCTTTACCAGTCTTATTACTGGTTTAGCGAGCGAGGTAAAGGAGTGCGTTAGCCGCCGGGTATCGAACCCCGGACCATATGAGGAGTGGTTGGCGAACATTCGACCGCTGTGCCACCGACGCTGTTAGACATATACTTATATCTATAAAAAAAACACAAAATAAATGTGAGCAAAGCATATCCTTTTCGATAATTTCCTCCTCTTCTGGCTCTACAATTACAAATTCAGTTCCTTGGGGACACAACATCAGCGAAATACTAACACAACGCCTAAAAAATACGGTGGTAAAAAGAGCACTCCATGCAGCCGAATTACGCTGTGTCTTCAAAACCACCCACTTCTATTTTGCGTTTGGGAGTAAAAGACAAACTGCCTAATTTCGCGTCTTCCATGTGTATCTACCAAGTTAACTGCTCCTGTGGAGCCAGTTACATATGCCGTACAATCAGGCGTGTTTCTCGTCGAATTTCCGAACATCACCCCACGTGGTTAAGTAAAGGAGAAACAAAATCTATTCGTAGCGTTATTCTCTCTCACCTTGTGGATACAGAACACATGATTAATGTTAACCAGGCTTTCCGTGTCATTAATCGCATAACAACTAATCTTAATTTCGCCTTAACATTTCGATTACTGAATAATGCTGAGGCTGGGCTGTTGGATCCATATTAAGAAGCCTAATTTGTGCAACCGAAAGAAGTTAGTTCAGACGTTGTCCTTACCTTGGCCATCTAGGTACGATTGCCCATAAACTCTCATCTCCTTCATGTCACCCTTGCACTAACTAACATACAACTCGCCGTTTCCCAACCGGAATTCACTCACTCAATGGCTTCATCAGTGTGCATCCAGTGTATCATCATTTCCTTCCGCATATTTGTTGGGCGATAAGATTCCTGGTTGGTTGGTTGGTTGGCAGAGTTACACGTTACTAATCTTTTTTGGTTATTTCATTTTCAGTACTGAATCAGTGAAGGCAGATGTTGATGAAAGTCTTCAGTAGCCTGTCGGAAATGCTTTTGATAGCGCGCAAAATCTTTGAACCACATTTGTGCTGGAAATCGGAGTCTTCTTCTCCTTCTTCATGCTGAGTGCAGCTACATACCACGCTAATTTCGATGTAATGAAGGTCTGTCTTGCTTTTCCTTTCCTGAAGCCTTTGACATTCTCATCTGTCCGCCTACTGTTGAAACGATGCTGTCTAGATAAGTGAAAGAGACAATTTCCTGTAGATTTCTCTTGTCACTAGTGATTGGTGCTTGTTACTAGTGGTTGGATATCTTCATCACTTCTGTCTTCTCCATTTTCACTTGAGGTCCTGTATTCGCTGTCTGTGTCTTCTGTCAACTTTTTTGGTTTCCGCCTGTAGTTCCTCCCGTTTGTGTAACATCAGACATAAATCATCCGCGAACTCCAGATCTAGCGTCTTCTCCTCAGTACATAGTATGCTTGTCTTCTCGCTCGCTACAATTTGTCGGATAACCCAGTCCCCACCAGAGTTAGGAATGTCATCAGTGTTGGGTAGACAACTCTGTCTTACTCCTCTCTGCACTTCAAAGGCTTCGCCCAGTTTTTCGTTGTGAACCACTTGACGCATGGCATCATCAAATATCTGTTGAGTGAGGTTAATAAAGATATGGCGCACTCCAAAGTATTGCAGTCGTCAACACTGTCGAAGACCTTTAGAAACTCGATAAAGTTGAGCTTGAGGTTTGACTACCATCCTATCCTCTGTTTGACAATGATGCGCAGCGTTGCGACTTCATCCGCACATGATTTAGATTCCTTCAATCCAACTAGTTTCGGACAGAGTTTAGTATCCAGAGGATGTTTTATTCTCTATCCAGGATAGCGCGATTTGATATTTTCCTTAGCGTGAAGACGGGAGCATGATTCTGTGCTAGTTTCTACAAAGACTATTGTTCCCCATCTTTGAAAGTCTGACAAGAGAGGCCTCCTGCCAATCGGTAGATACGTTTCCTTCCCTCCAAACCTTTTGCAATGGTGATGCATCTCCGCATTCTTGAGATTGATTTTTGTTGTGTCTGTAGCTAGTGAACCCCACGTCCGTTGTGAAGCATTCAGCATGCTGTTGAATAAGATTTATAAAAGTTCGCGTCACTATACACTCCATAGTGTTGAAGAAGTTATCAAATTACTTCACGGTCGACGTTATCCAAGGCCTTTGCAAAGTTCCTTCCTTCAAGTTAGTTAATTGTCTTTTTTTTCTTTTCTTCACGTTCCCCAGTGGAACATAGGGCACCTTCAAGCTAGAAGGCTTGAAGTTTCTGTAGCAGTGTTTATTTTTTTACAGGATGGGGTTGCTGCTAGCCTCATGTTCAACCTTCCCTCTTTACCAGCATTATTTCTGGCTTAGCGTTGGCGGCCGGGAATCGAACCCTGGACCATGTGCATAGTCGGTGAGCGTCCTAACCGCTATACCACCGACGCACTAATTGTCGTTGATTATCCTTAATATTGTGATAAATCCACTAGTTCATCCATTGTAGCTCACATAAATGTGTTTCTTTTTTGGTGTTAATAATAGGCCTTCTTCTGAAAAATGGAGTTAAGGAACTCTGTGCTATAAAACTATACAATACACGGTTGTTTTGCTCAATAAAAAATGCACACATGTTAAATGGTCTTTCATTTCAATACTTTCATCACCATATCAGATGACCATTGTTTGTATGATCTATACACAACATGGAGTAAATAAGCACTAATGTATACAGTTTAGCACACATCAATCATGTGCTTTTGGTGGTATATAACAGACCACCACACACACACACACACACACACATACTATAATGGAGATCAGTTTTACTCAGTTCAGTACCCTTTGGTTGTATGTATGTATGTATGTACTAATCTATAAACCACTTGTAGTGTGTAAAGGGCCTTAGAACACTATCCCCCATTCATCCGCCCGTCTGTCTATCTGCCTGGTTTCAACATAGAACTTTGCACCGATGTGAAGTAGTTCGAGTCGCCACACTACTCAGCACACAAAGCCAGAGAAGAAGAAGAAACGCTAAATACTGCGCTGAAGATTTTCTCCAGAAGGACGACGAAAGCTCCGCAACTAAACCAAGCAGCTCAGAGAACACTATTAAGTGCAAAACACAGTTTCATTGGAAATAATAAGTCACAAGGAGTGGATACATCTGCGCCATTGAGAATGATCTTGAGTCATATCAACAATTGTTTCCAACCATTGGTTACTGAACAAATAATACTCTTTTCGATAACCTGCTCTTCTTCATTAGGCTCTGTAGTTACATATATATATACGACTGCAATTCAAGGGTGATATACCAAGCGAAATAATTACGAAGAAATTAAGAAAATCACTTTTACAATCTTTGAATCCTGGCGAAATAAACATCTTATTATTCTCTACACGACCGATGATGGTGATTCCTCGATTGAAAGATGAATTACCTAGACTAGACTAGCCACTTCCAGCTGTGTCTACCAATTGAACTGAGCTTGCGGTAGAGCGAGTTATATCGGCTGTTGCTCTAAGAACTTGATTTTTCGTGCTCACTCGAGAACATCTCCCAGTATGGCTAACTAAAGGTGTGTAGTAAAAAGTCATCAACAGTTCGATATCAGACCATCTGGTCCAAACCGGCCCGGTCAAAAAGCCAGCCAGCATTGAGGAATCCTTCTCCATCATCATCTACCGGGTACCAAATAAATTGCCAAAAACATCAAAGTACCGCATGCTCCAAACAGCAGAGGCTATCGTGATTCGTGTGAAACAAGCAGTTCTGTGCGTGCAAAAGAAGCAAGTCCAACTACTACTACTACTACTACTACTCTGCCCAGCCTTCAGGCGAGACTATAAATTCATGAATTTCTAATATTATCTTTCCTAATTTTTCTGACATTCAGTTTATAAATTAAAGTTACAATTATTAGATTACTGAAAAAAGTGCACAACCCCAACTCAGTTTCCAGTCAATACATCCCGCGGACTCGTATCCAGCTGCGCTCTGCCTACTCCAACATAAATGTGTGGGATAGGCTGGCACATGAAGAAAGACCTGGGTCCTAACAATGAATGAATGATGCTTGGGGGAGGCTTCGTGTGCTTTTGGAAGTGTGTGTGTGGGCGGTTGTTACTTCCCGGCTGCCTACACCGAAGAAGTTAGCTGATTCTTCGGCTACTTGAAATAGAAAGAGGGTTAGTATTGCATGACCGCAGAGCCCAGAGAACAACTGTTTGAGACCAGCCGGTCACACAAGGTTTGTATGAACTACTGGTTTCTTGGATTTGTTCCGTATTAGTAAACCTACCACCGATTACGGATCACTGTAGATGGAGTGGAGACACAGCATAGCTGACTGGTATGCTGGTCATCTGAGGGAAACACCTCACTGCTGTTGTTACACCCCTGTCCCCCAGCATTGTGTAAAAACAGGAATTCCTACACTAAGCCGATATCTGCTTTTAGTCTAATCGCTATCCCCTAACAACCTTCCTGGCATGGTAGGGACCTGCAGGAACAATAGTTCCAGCCAGTGTAGCTTGTGTGGTCGAGTCCTTACACGACTGTCTTAGGAAAAAGGCAAGAGACATCGAAACAAAAGGTCCATATTCTCTGCCACTCCACACAGCTCAGATTAAGCAATGAGGAAATAACGTGGTCATTTTAAATGACGTCTAAGTAAAGTAAAGTAAAGTAAGGTGTACAGTAGACGAAAAAGTGTTGCAACTAACCTGGAAGAATTGGTACAGGTCCTTCCATTGGATGATTTGTATTATTATGATTATTTGGAACTAACCATGAATGAGCACCAGAGCAAAGACCATAGCCGAGCTTTGAAAATTGTAAGCCAATATGATCTACAGGTAGGAGTGAATGTGACTGATGACTACCGCTGCCACCGCTGCTGGTGGTGGCGAACTGACTCAGCACCTCTTCAGACCATATCGGTAATTGATAGGCATAGTACGAACGAAATTGTGGAATTGAAAATAATACCTAGGAGTGAAAATCATAATCAAAAAATAGCATAAGACACAATACTGTTTCGGTTACAAACGACAAATTCAGTCAAATCAATAAATAATCAGTTTACGCCGTCTCTCGCTTAGTAGACGTGATAACCGACTGGGCTATCGACCAAGGGGGAGGGGGTGTAAAGCTCAGCAGTCCGCTCCGTCCTCCTGTGAGACGTGGCCACTGAATGGAAGGCATGAGAAGGTTGACCAGCAGGCTTTGATCATAGGTGCTTGCGTTCTATCTCCCATGTGAAAAGGTATAATAGGGTGAGCAATATTGAGGCTAGGTGTTCAGTGAGTGCTAGGTAAGGAGGGGAAATCAATCGACAAGGCTGTGAAGATAAATCGACTGAAATGGTTGGGACATGTGTTACGTATGCCTAGCCACCGCCTTCCTCGACAATGGGCAATGTTAGCTGACATAGGGTCAGGCTGGAAAAAAACTAGTTAGTAATGTTCAAACCAAAACATTGCTTTATCAATCAATGAAATCCACAACAGTTAGTTTAAGTCGGCCAGCCAGCCACGTAGGAAGGTGTAGACCTCCTGACTGGCTGGTTGCAGTCCTCGGGATGGTAAGCACTAATGAAGGCTCAAGACAATCGGTGATATGGCTCAAACTCATCGTTCTCCATGGCTGGCGCAGATGCATCCATTCCTTGTGACTTGTAATTTCCAATGAAACTATATTGTTCTCCCATATTACTATTCCTTTTGTCCCATATCCCTGTCTACTGTCTCTATTATGCATTTCTTCGACTTACTTCTGTTGCTTTGTGTGCTAAATGGAGAGTGTAGCGACTTGAACTGCTGCACGTCGGTGGAAAGTTCTATGTCGAAAACAGACAGACAGACAGAGGAGTCCGAAGTCTATACCCTGGCATCTCCACCCCACATCAATATAGCAAATACATAGTGCATCAATGGTTCGGCGGCAGAATACTTGCCAACGACGCGCCAAAACCAAAGGTTCAGGATACTATCCCCAACTGCCAATGCACCCACCACAAACTTCTCTAAGACGGTAAGTAAGTCCAGTAAACAGGGAAGATTGAGCGTGAAACTAGTAACCCCCTACCCTGTAAAAGTAAAAAAAAAGAACCACTGCTACTGAAACTTCAAAGCCAATATTTTAGTTTCATCACGACTTGACATCCAACGGAGAATCACTGAGAACCATGTGGAGTACTGGACACATTTGTTTCATCCCAATTCGTTACTCTTCGATGGTATACAGTGATCGAATGGTCCGGGGCGTGGGGGTTCTCTCAGTCCCAAGTTTGATTTTCAGTAAGATTATTGAATGAATACTGATGAAGAGCCGCAAACCAGGACGAAACGGCTGTCAAGTCGATACGTAGTCAGACAAAATCAAATCACATGTTTATGCCAAGATGGTGAGCAAGGTCAGTCTGGGTATTTTCGCTCACGCTTATGTCCTCAGTCGTCTTCTTCTTATGCATACATACACCATTGGTCAGATATATACATTTTTTTATTCCTTTACGTTCCCAAGGCGTCGGTGGCATAGCGGTTAAGACGCTCGCCGACCATGCACATGGTCCGGGGTTCGATTCCCGGCCGCCAACGCACTCCTTTACCTTGTTAAGCCAGAAATAATTCTGGTAAAGAGGAAAGGTTGGGCATGAGGCTAGCAGCAACCCCATCCTGTGAAAATAAACACTACTACAGAAACTTCAAGTCACTAGCTTGAAGCCTTATGTTCCACTGGGGAACGTGAAGGAAAGAAAGAAAAAAAAACGTTGCCAATGGAACATAGGGCTTCAAGTTAAAGGCTTGAAGTTTCGCTAGCAGTGGTGTTTAATTTTAGGAGATGGGGTTGCTAACCAGCCTCATGCTCAAAATTCGCTCACTACCAATTTTATCATGGAGTGCGTTGGAGGCCGGGGATCGAACCCCGAACCACCTGAGGCGTGGTTGGCGAGCATTCTACCGCTGTGCCAATGACGCATATTGCTGTGTCTGAGAAATACTGTCTCAAATCGCAAGTCAAGTAAAACAGATTGGCAATTAATGAATACAACCATAATTCGGATACCAGTTGAAATGACTGACTGACCGACTCACTAAACGACTTTCAACATAGAACTTCGCACAGAAGTTCACCAGTTCAGGTTGCCATACACCGTGTAGCATACAAAGGTAGACAAAAGATATATGTGAAACCACAAAGAGTGAATGCATCTGCACCAGCTAATGAGAAAGATTTCCAGCCCTATCACCAATAATCTCCAGCCATTGGTTCTACGAATCCCAAAGACCCAGGCAACCGGACGGGAGTCTACACCTCCCCCCCCCCCACTTGGCTCAGACCAACTGTCTAAGATTGCATGAACGAATTCCAAGTTTTGCTTTCACTACCCTAAACTCCTTTCCAGAGTAGTCTGAAATATCAGTTGAAATCGCTCGTCGAGGAAGCTGATGGCTCAGGATGCGCAACACTTGTCCTAGCCATGTAACACTCGACGCCTAACCTCAGTATTACTCACCCTATTATACCGTTTAACGCAAAGACATCTAGCCAGTCTTTTCACATTTTCCACTTTCAATGGCCATCTCTCACAGTCATAAAGTAGAACAGAAAGAACTGCTGCACAGGTACATACGTCCTTCGATCGATAGCCAACCGGATATTACGTCTACGCCAGAGACGGCATAAACTGACATATGCCATATAAATCTTCTATATCTGTGCTAAGGTGTCGTCAGCAATCAGTCGATTAAGGTGATGCAACTTCGCAAATATTTATGCGTTGAAGTTTCTGTAGCAATTTGGTTAAGTTTTGGGGGTGGAGTTGCTAGCACCGCGCCCCAACCCTCCGTCTTTATCCGGGCTTGGGACCGGCTGGAAAACTAGCGAGCTAGTAATCTACGCATCATCATCGAGCAAAGCATGGAATGGCAATCAAACCTCTACCTCAACTTTATAGACTTTGAGAAGGCCTTCGACAGCGTTGATCGTGAAGTAATTTGGAAATTACTCGAGTACTACGGCGTACCCCAAATATTCATCAACCTTATTCAACAGCTGTACGACAACGGCACCTGCAAGTGATCCACAACGGAAGACTCAGTGAGGCGTTTGGAGTGAACACAGGAGTCAGACAAGGGTGCTTACTATCACCGATGATATTCCTAATTGTTGTGCACTGGCTGGATTATGTGTCAGACAGTTGGAAACGAGCAGACAGAGATATCCTGGATTGACCGACGTGAAGAACCTAGAAGACCTGGACTTCGCGTGTGGATAATTTATGCTTGATGTCACACAAAATCGAAGACTTACAAGCGAAAACCGACTGACAAACTGGTCGAAGAAGCAGCCGGCGTAGTCATGACTCCAGGTGAACATAGACAAGACGGAGGTTATGAAAATAACCAACCAATAACAACAACAACAGAAACATCCAGTGCCAATCACCATCAGCGCGAGGGATTTGAAAGAGGTTACTTCATTCACTTATCTAGGAAGCATTGTCTCAACTACAGGAACGGAGGAACGGACGAGGATGTCAAATCGAGCGAGATTCGGGAAGGCAGGCGAGAAACACATTCATCAACCTGAAATCAATCTGGAAATCTTCGTCACTCAGCCAGAATCAACAACAAAATTCGGTCGGATTTTCAATACAAACGTCAAAACAGTCAGTTCTTCTATACGGATCAGAAACTTGGCGGGCGGGTCACAAAGAATATTTCCAACAGCCTGTTGCAGACCAGACCTTCATCAACAACTGTCTTCGCTCTATACTGAAGATCAGATGGCCGGGCCGGAAAGAATCACCAACAAGAAACTATGGGAACAGACGAACAAAACAAGAACCAGTCGCTTGCCCAACAAATATGCAGGAGAAAGTGGGGATGGATTGAACACTCGCTGAGGAGGCCGCTGGCTGACATTGCGCATCAGGCCATCGCTCGAGTGGAACCAGACCGACAAAGAAGCGGCGAGTGGGACGTCAATGCAAGGGTGACATAGAGGAGATCGTGTGAAGAGTAGGAGTTGAAACAGTATGGACTAACTAACATAGATGCAGGTGAAAAGTACGGCAGAAGACAAGTGGATACGTGCAGTTGAGGCCCTATTTTCCACTAGGAACCCAAGGGAACAATAATAATAATAACTTCGCAAATAAGTTAATTGGTCAATACACTCCACCGCCTCACTTCCCTTTAGGAGTCCGCGTAGTCCAGTCCTTCAGCACCATCTAACATTTTGACAGGAGTGAATCACATGCCAAACATTCGAAGATCACTGCTCAAAGTGTTCAGAAAACTCTGTGTTTTGTCAGCATATTCACACGTATGAGGACAATATCAATCGCATACTCTAACATTTAGAAACCAATAGATAACAAATAAAGGTGGGAAAAGAAAATACAATTATTATACATATATGATACAACTCTTACCTGTATTACAGCATTCATATAACATGTGTTACCAAGATTTCTAAGTCCAGTCATACCAGGACCATAACGTGCTTCAAGGGAATGATTCGATTCTTGTAGAGTAAGCCATTCACCAAGCCTTTCATTAGCATCCACTTCTAGCTCAGCCATTGTTTTTTCTGTTTTTTGCATACGCATTATGTCGATGCCAAAATGGGCTAAATGTTCAGCTAGTTTTGGATCTGTTACCATTGAATCTTCTGGATAGGAGAAAACTTCACCACCCTTTGGAAAAAAATGCATCATTGAGAAAATAATAATAACAGTAATAAGGGATTTTACAAATACATACATGAGACGAATTCAGTGCCTACGAGTCAGTGCTGTCTGTCTGTCTGGATTCAACATAGAACTTGCCACCGAAGTGCACCAGTTCGAGTTGCCACCTTCCAAATAGCACACAAAGGTAGACAAGAAGATGAGTGAAGAGAATCAATAGAGTTTGACAAGTATAAGAGTGAAACAGAATGGGTAATGGTAGAAAGGAATATGAAAGATTACAGAGACTGAATACATATGCGCTGGCCATTGACAACGATTTTGAGCCATGTCACCTATTGTCTCCAGCCATTGATTCCTAGAGTCCCGAGGGCCCCAACCCGGGAGTCTGCATCTCCCTACCTGACTCAGTTTAACTGTCAAGGATTTCATGGATTGATGCCATGTTTTTGTTTGGCCACCACTGGCTCTTTTCCAACCTGCACCTATATCAGCTAGCAAAGCCCGTCGGGGGAGGCGGTGGTTAGGCATGCGCAGCACGTGACCTAGCCATCTTAGTCTATGTAACTTTATAGCCTCATCGATTGATTTTCCCTCTTTGCCCAACACTCTACGCCTAACGTCAACATTACTTACCTTGTGAAACCACCTAACGTGAGACAGAGATCGCAGACATCTATGATCGAAAGCAGTCAACCTTTTCATGTCTTCAACGTGTATTGGCCATGCTTCAGAGCCATAGACAAGAACGGAGCGAAATGATGAGCAGTACACACGTCCCTTGGTTGATAACCGGATGTCACGCCTACGCCAGAGATGGTGTAAGTCAGAGAAAGTAGCTCGAGCTTTTCGGATCCATGCTGAGATTTCATCACCAATCAGTCCCCGTTGGTGCTAATACAACTTCCCAAATAGATGAAGTGGTCAACATGTTCTATCACTTCACTCCCTATCACTAAGTTAGGAGTTGACGTGGTCCAGTCCTGTAGCATCAGTGCAATCGAAACTCGGCCACCCAACACAGGCCATGAGACATATTGACTGTATAAATTCTGATTATTCTATCCAGCCACCCAGGCTAAGCTAGACGGAATGGGATTATTATTATTATTATCAATAAAACACATAAGTATAAAACTTGGGCACTGTGGTAGAGATTTTATTTTGATAAAGTGTCACACAGTGCTGCTGTACAGTAATATTAACTCATAACCATGTTTCGACCACAAATTATTACCACTCATAATCATATCAAGTCACTCACACAACTTTCTACCTTCATTTATATACATGAGTGAAATTGATGATTAGACATTTGAACAAAATCAACAGTATAAGATAAAGTACATTCAGAAATAACAATATGAGTGTTATGGATCAAATACAAGCAGATGGGAAATAAGACGAGTGTTTTTATAGTCATAATAAGTGAGTAACTTGTAGGAATGTTATGATGTGCTTGAATTGAAATAGAACATTAAGATTACTTATTATCCTCTTCTGATTTGACTGATGGTAATAATATGTTTCATATCTCTGGTATTTAAGTGGAGTCATTTCTGTTGTATGTAGACTCAATGAACCAGGCAGGAATCAGTAATCAATCTCTCTCCACCGACAAAAATTACGTTTTAGAATTCTGACTCTGTCCCATCACCTTATTGTGTGGTTGTGTGTTAATATGCATGTAGTCCAATTGCTGAGCCTTTTTCTAAATTACTTATCTTCTCGGGTGGGGTCAACCATTCTTACTTTAGCCACTAAATTCTCATGTTCCGACAATCTGACTACCCTCGACACATTAGTTTGACCAATGTAGTTGACTTAACTCACAGTCATTACAAGGTATTTTGTAAATTATATTATTTTGTTTAATTGGGTCAACTGGGTCCTTTGACCTACAGAGCTTGTCCTTCCTGAGTGAATTTGTAGGTTTGAATGCCACCCTTATTCCTGCTTCATTAAGAATCCTACGTAGAGTCTCATATGTCCCCACCTTATATAGTATAACAGTAGATAACTTATATACTTTCTTATTTATGCTATCATTACTAGTTTCTGCATTATTTTTATTTTGCTTTTGGCCTTTTTCGATCTTCCTAATGAATTTTATAGGATAGTTATTTAACATCAACGCCTCTTCTATCTGTTTGATTTCGTCATTTAGGTCTTTCCTTGTACTACTTAGTGCTACTGCTCGATTTATCCTATATTGATTTTTATTCCAATATCTAGTCAATTCCACACATGTATATAAATGAAGGAAAAAAGCTGTGTGAATGACTTCCAGCGCAATAATTTGCGCTCGAAACGTAGTCATCAGTTAATATTACTGTATAACATCACTGTGTGATTTATCAAAATAAAGTCTTATCCATAATGGAATAAAGCACAGACTTGGTATGGAATACAGCCACCAAGAGATGCACTACACAACATCTTATTAGTTTTTGTCAGGGATAGGAGATACTGGCCAGACGTCCAGGTCTAGGCAGGTGGTTGTCTTAAAGGATCAACCAAGTTTAATCCTGACACTAGCCAGTGAAGTAGAGTCAACAGCTGTATTGTCATGGTTTCCAGTGACTGAAATGGTCGTTCTGGTGTTTAGCTTACTTCGATCTGACTAACAAGCATTACTGGTTGTTGATGTGAGTAGTATACAACTACTCATATCAGAAGTCGATCAGTAGTATAGGTAGTTTTATGATTTTAATGTAACATTGTTTTCAGCATTGCTTATATGTGACCTAGGATTGCTATTCAACATCGTGTTGCTAAGAGGGATACGATCAGCCACTTTAATGTAATCAAGTCATATTGAATTAAAGAGAAATACGAAATACTTCCAGGACTTTAACACTCTCGATGTTTTAAAATGTCTTAAAACGCTTAAGCCCTCAAGTAGCCTTGGCCCTGATGGTGTACCTACATATCTTCTAAAACAATGTGCAGGTGCCTTATGTGCTCCTCTAACTAACATCCTAAATGCTTCTTTCTCCAAAAACGTTGTACCTGTTGCCTGGAAAGACATTAAAATAGTCCCTGTCCCTAAACCTAGCAATAGCAAGAACGTAAATTTCAGACCCATTGTCATCACTTCCCCGTTTCTAAAGCTTATGGAAAAACTAGTACTTCTTAAACTCGAACCCTCCCTTAAAAGCTTTGAAGACCCCAAACAATTTGCCTATAGACAGGTAAGGAGCACTTAAGACGCTGCAGCCGTCTTACACAACAGTATCGTCTCATCGTTAGATAAAGGTGCCAAAATACGTCCGCTGCACATTTCTTGACTTCACTTCTGCTTTCGACTCTGTACCTACATGTCTCTTGCTAAATAAGCTCTATATGACACAAACTGAGTCCTGGGTCACTAACTGGTTGCATTCTTACTTCGCTTACAGAATGCAGTACACTGTATACAAAGGTAAATCCTCATCTGCTGTGCTCACTGAAGTTGGTGTCCTCCAAGGTGCCGTACTCTCCCCACTTCTCTTTTCTTTCTCTCTACATGACTTACCATCTTCAAATGACATTAATTTTGTTAAATATTCTGACGAGCTGACTGTGTCATTGCCTGTCAAATGTCAAAGTGACTGCTTCAAACTAAATGGCTTTTTATCAGAAATCAGCCAGTGGTCCAAGGAAAACGGTCTAACCTTAAACCACTCCAAGTGCCAAACAATCAATTTCACCTTTAGGCACAAATCTGACCTAAACAAACTGGTTAGCACTCACAAGGTGTGCAACATAGATGGCACCGAAATTGAAACCAAGTCTGAAATTAAATACCTAGGCGTCACTCTATCTTCTGATCTTTCCTGGTCGTCTCATATCTTGACGATTTCTAAGAAAATATTCTGTCTTACCTTCTACATCAAGAAGTTAAGACATTTTGGTGTAACCCAACCCTTACTCCTACAATTCGTTAACTCCCGTATTCTGCCTATTATTCTCTATTGTCCCCCCTTAGTTTTTCCAGGGCTACTGAAGAAAGAACATACCTTATTACGCAGGATGTTAAAGGTTGTCAGCAGGGTAAGCTACGTGCCACTCAACCAGCTTGTTAACATTCTGGTGGACAGACACATGGTCTCATGTGAAAAATGGGCAAAATCCATTTTATCTGACTCACAACACCCTCTTCATTCACAACTCTCCCCATGTATCTCTTCAGGGAAAACCAGAAGCCTGTATAGAAAACGATATGCTCGCACTAGTAAGTACAAAAACTCATTCATACCCTACTTAGCTCGTGTTCTGTGCGATAAAGGAAGCATTTGGCGTGAAACCTTTAACTTATTAAATAGTCAGTAGAACAACTGGATCTCGTCTTTCCCACTCATATCATTTACAGGTACGTTTTCTTTCTTTCTTTTCCTTTTCTCCCTCTCTCTCTTTCTGTTATGTGCTGCTTTGTTTCTTACTTCCGCTTACGCCAGTAAATATGCTAGTATCTACTCTTCTAACACCTTCAAACACCCTGTTCAATTTTGGCTTTGGTACCGACATGCCAATATGTTGTTGTCATAATGAACTGAGATTACCCTTAATCTATGTAGAATTTTATATTATTGTTAATTTACTAACTGGATGCGTGTCACTGTAGTAAAATGCTGAGAATTCCATTCTGTATGGCAAGTACTGTTTTAGAATAAAGCTATTATTCTTATCATTATCATTATTATCAGTTATAGCCATACGACATGTGCTAACGAAATTACAACTCTACGCACCGATATCACGGAACAAAGCATAGAATGGCAGTCAACTCCCTAAACCAACTTCATCGACTTTAAAAAGGCCTTTAACAGCGTTGACCATGAATTAATTTGGAAACTACTCCAACACTACGGCATACAGTGTTCAAGTCTTTATCAACCTCATTGAACAGCTCTATATGACAATGTCATGTGTCAGGTGATCCACAAAGGAAAACTCAGCGAGGCATTCCAAGTGAACACAAGAGTAAGACAAGACTTCTGACTATTACCATAAAAGATATTTTTAATTGTGATAGACTGGATTATGCGTCAGACTGCACGTTGGGAGTGTGAGAAGATAGGAATATGCTGGACCACCGAGAGGAAGACTCTAGAAGATATACATTTCATGGATGATTTATGTTCACTGTCACACAAACTCAAAGACACTTACACGCGAAAACCAATAAGTTGACTGAAGAGGCGAGACAGGCGACGAAGACAGGATTCCAGGTGAACACACAGAGGAAGAAGACGGAGGTGATGAAGATAAGCAATCAACCACCAACTACAGCCAGCAGTGTAATAAGTATGCACTGGAGAGATTTAACAGAGATTATTTCCTTCACTTATCTAGGAAGCAGGCAGTCTGAATGGAGGAAGATGTCAAAGCTAGTCAGAATCGGAAAGGCAAGATACGCCTGAAGTCAGATTGGAAATCTTCTACACTCCAGAGAGTAAAGAACAAGACTCGGATTCTATTCAACACAAATTTGAAGTCAGTTAGTTCTTCTACATGGGGGAGAAACTTGCCTCTTGAGTCACAGAAAGCATTTCCAACAGGTTGCAGACTTTTATCAACAGCTGTCCACTTCGCTGACTCTATACTGAAGATTAAATGGTCAGAAAGAATTAGTAACAGGAAGCTATGGGAACAAACCAACCAATAGCCGATCGCTCAACAAATATGTAGGAGAAAAATGGAGATGGATTGGCTACACGCTGAGAATACCTTCGAATGGCATCGCTCGCTAGGTAAATCGTTCAGTGGAGTCCAAATGGGAAGCGACGCGAGTGGTCGTCCCAGGGTAACATGGAGAAGATCTTCGGAGGAGGGGATGAATGAATATGGGCAATCGTAAGACCAGATGTAGCGGACGGTGGAGAATAGAACAAAATGGAGATGTGCCGTTGAAGCCCTATGTTCCACGTGGGAACCCAATGCAACAATAATAATAATAACAATAATAAAGGTATGTCTTTAATGCAATACTCTAGTGTCAATTATAAAATTTCAGTGAGTCTAACACCAAAAGCAAGGCTCAAGAAAAGGGTTGTGATGCCTGCATCTTGACTTCTCTTCTTCTTTACTTCGGCTATCTCCTACGGGAGGATGATCCGGCTTCATGAACGTCTCGAATCATCGCATCTTGACTTAATAATGATCATATCGTACACATAAATAGCTTCTCGTCAATAGACAGGAACTAAACATAATTCAATTCAATTATTAATACTTACTTTAGGTGTTATTGTGCCCAATTTTACAGCTAATGGATATTTAGTCTTTTCATAATGCTCCAATGCATGATTATTTCCACCGGTACCATCCCAAAATCTTCGACCGCACAGGATAGCCCCATCAGTAAGATTCATCCATAGATTGTCCTTTAAATCGCATCTTGAGCATTTCCATCCACTAAACGAGCATTCATTGATAAATTAAAAAATAGAGAAAAAGAAGGATGTGGAAATAGTTTGACAGATTAGTTATTGTGTGCACAGTAGTTAAACAACACACAGAAAGAAACCACAGTATTAAGGTCTACATAAAAAGACTGACTGACTGACTGACTGACTGACTGACTGACTGACTGACTGACTGACTGACTGACTGACTGACTGACTGACTGACTGACTGACTGACTGACTGACTGACTGACTGACTGACTGACTGACTGACTGACTGACTGACTGACTGGTTTCAACATAGAACTTTGCACCTGTGTGAAGCAGTTCGAGTCGCCACACTTCACTCACTACACAAAGCCAGAGAAGAAGAGAGTAAAAAGAAACGCAAAGTAGAAACAGTAAACAGAGATATGACACAAAGAATAGTAATATCGAAGAACAACATAGTTTCATTGGAAATTATAAGTCACAAGAAGTGGATGCATCTGCACCAGCCATTGAGAACCATGAGTTTGAGCCATATCACCAATTGTTTCTAGCTGCCATTGGTGCTTACCATCCTGAGGATCCCAACCAGCCAGTCAGGAAGTCTACACTTTCCTACGTGGCTGGCTGGCCGACTTAAACTAACTGTTGTGGATTTCATTGATTGATAAAGCCATGTTTTGGTTTGAACATTACTAGCTAGTTTTTTTCCAGCCTGACCCTATGTCAGCTAACATTGCCCATTGTCGAGGAAGGCGGTGGCTAGGCATACGTAACACATGTCCTAGCCATCTCAGTCGATGTGACTTCACAGCCTTGTCGACTGATTTCGACTCCTTACCTAAAACTCACTGGACGCCTAACCTCAATATTGCTCACCCTACTATAGCATTTCACACGGGAGATAGAACGCAGGCACCTATGATCAAAGACAGCTGGCCAAGCTTTTGATGTCTGCTGAGAAGTACACACGCCCTTTGGTCGATAGCCAGCCGGATATCACGTCTACTAAGCCAAAGATGGCATAAACTAGCATATGCGAAACTAGCCTTCTGTATTCATGTTGTGATTTCGTCAGCGATCAACCCTTTGGCATTTGGCTGGTGCAACTTCCCAAATAATTGAAGTGGTCAACATGCCCTACTACATCACTCACCACTGTCTTCAAGCTAGGAGTGAGTCGATGTAGTCCAGTCCAGTCCTGTAGCATCATCTTACATTTGACTGACAGGAGCCAATAGCATGCCAAACATTCGCGCAGATTGCAACTCAAGGTGTGCAACCTAAAAAGAAGACTTCATTTGAATGTTTGTCAAATATAGAAGTATGCTTGAACTCATTAGCATATGTAGGAAACTTGGGCACTGTGGTATTTAGTACACAATTCCATATCAATTTGTTTATTGGACGCATCATACGCACAGACTGAAACAGTAGTTATTCACTGGATGACGACGTTTCGTACATAATTTGGTGTTCACATAAATATATCGTCAATTATAGTTTCCTTTCTTCTTTCCCACTTGTTGTAGGAAATTGTAGGAATAAAATTAAGTGATACTAATAACAATAATAACGACATCAATATAGAATTTGAAACACCAGTAGTACTTCTATACAAGGAGGGGACCTCTGAAACCTGACGTAGAATTCTTAACAACGCACAGGAATAAAAGTGGCATTCGAAATCACAAACCCCTTTAGAAACAGATTAGATCGGTTAAAGGACCTTGTGCGACCGATTAAACAAAATAATTTAATTTATCTAATACCTTGCAACGATTGTAAAGTCAGATACATAGATCAAAGTAGTAGGATGGGGTCAAGCAGACTAGAGAAGCACCTAAACTGAACAAATTCTAGATAAGCCCCCGCAAATTATATAAAAAAGCTAGAAAAAAGTTCAACCATAGCATAAAATCCAACTCTACATACAACCATACAACAGGATACCATGAGTCTTAAGATCTCATTTAACAGGGTTGAGGGAGAGATTGGTAATGGAAGCTTTAAATATATACGACTAAATGTGAGAACGCGTACAGTAGGCATGATTCAATACCTGTCCACCCGGACATCTGGAAAATTCTACTATACCTACGACAAATGTGATAGAAGAAAGAGAACTACAGAAATCGATTTTCGAAGTCATGTAGTTACAATTGACGATATGATTATGAACAATAAGTTGTGTTAGAAACTTCGTCATCCAGCAAAAGACATGCTGTCTCACTGTGTAAATTACTTAACTGAACAAGTCTTTCACGATCTCGGCCATAAACGATAAAAGTTACATAAGAGTTGATAATACTAACCAGTCACCTAGGCTAAATTAACTGGAGTGAGACTTGAACCCGAAACCCACTAGTTGAAATCCAATTACCTACCCTATTGAGTCACCTTTCGACTATAAAAGAAATTTTAATCAATAGCCAGTCGTATGCATTCAGTAAGTGGGGCAGGGTTCATGCTCGTCACCCAGTGACTCGAAATCGACTACCAAGACCAGTGACCAGTAAGCCACAACTTTAGGATACAATAGTATGAGAATAAAATCACACAGCTAAACATTTAAATCCATCATATCATTGTTTCTAGGCAAATTTTAAAAAAGTCTAAACTTCAGATGGCAGTTCAGAGACGTAGGCATTCAACTCTCAACCGACAGGTCACAATTACCAAAGGAACTAAAACTGGGGTAGCTGGGTGCTATTGCAGTCTTCGTATTACCTAATAAGCGAGATCGTTTTAATATTGGCCACCTATTTTACTTTTTTCCGTGCCTAGTGGTTTCACACTCATTTTCAAATGAAACACCTCACATTAAGATAAGCTGATGTTTTGATTCCAGTCGTTTTATGCCGTTTATCTGTTCGGCTTTCGCCTATTTGTTCACACTATTCCCTGGTTGAGTAACCTGTTTTCTTCAGTATTCGTAAACAAAACTAACTGGCTAATATTAATGTAGAACTTCATATACACATGCATCAATTAATACACATCAAGAAAGTACAACGGTTAAAAATGCAGTTATGAACAAGTATAAACAAGTGAAGGACTGTTATAATACTGTCTGAATATGTTCTCATATGGTATAACTTTCTTAGGACCAAAATAGTTGATGGGTATTACCTTCTTGATCAAAAGCCTTTCCCATTCTTTTTTTTGCTTTCATCAACTATCACTGTTCCTGGTTTTCATGAAAACTTTTAGGCAGTTTAGGTTCAAATAAATGTTTGCTTCTCGTCAACTTCGAGGTCCGCTGTAACCAGTCACTTTGAATGAATCATTCTGAATAAGGTAAGAGGGACTCAACGATTTCCTAACCTCGTTGACTACTTCACTTATTTGGGAAGTTGAATCAGCCAGTGCCGACATGTTGACGGCTGACGAAATCTCAGCACGAATACAGAAGGCTCGTGTCGCACATGCCAGTTTACGCCGTCTCTGGCTTAGTAGACGTGATATGCGACTGGCTATCAATCGAAGGACGTGTGTACTGCTCAGAAGTCCGATCCGTCCCATGTGAAGTGGTATAATAAGGTAAGCAGTAATGAGGTTAGACTTCAGTCAAGTGCTACGTGAGTTGGAGGGGAAATCAATAGATGAGGCTGTGAAGTTACATCGACTGAGATGGTTAGGACACATGTCACGCATGTCTAGCCACCGATCGCCTTCCCCGACAGACTACAATGTTAGCTGACTGACATAGGATGGATCACGTTAGAAAAGAGAAAGCTAGTGATGACCGAACAAAAACATGGCTTCATCAGTCAATGAAATCCACAACAGTTAGTTTAAGCTAACCAACCAGCCAGTCACGTAGGGAGGTGTAGACTTCCTGTCTGGTTGGGGTCCTGGGAACGGTATACACCAATGAAGGCTGGAGACGATTGGTGATATGGCTCGAACTCATCATGGCTGGTGCAGATCCATCCACTCCTTGTGACTTATAATTTCCAATGAAACTCTACTGTTCTTCGATATTACCATTCCTTTTGAGTGATATCTCTGTTTACTGTCTCTATTTTGCGTTTCTTCTTCTTCTCTGACTTCGTGTGGTGAGTGAAGTGTGACAAATCGAACTGCTGCACATTAGTGCAAAGTTCTATGTTGAAAACAATCAGTCAGTCATTTGCTAACCTCTGGTAAAAACTTATTAAAATTCTTCAAGATGAATACCACTATCGTACACTGAGATGAATGTTCGGTTAACTTACTTTTTACTTTACTTCGGCTATCTCCTACGGGAGGATGAACCGGCTTCATGAACATCTCGAATGTTTGTAAGAGAGTTGATGAAGTTTCATGCGAATTGGGTGCGAGTGATGTCCCCAGCATCGCTCGGCCTTTTGAGTGTAGCTCTAGCCTTTACACAGCCAAGTGTGACCTACAAGGCAGTAGGAGTGGAGTAGGGAATCCACTATCCATTGGCAGCCGGTGACCGGAGTCCGGTTCATACGCCTTTTTGAATGGGGCCAGACATCCAGGGCATCCAACAAGCCCTTTGTCCATACGTCTGCCGGTGAACTCCGGTGAGCTTCATACGCCAGTCGTTGGAGGTTTGGAATCAGGGTTTAGCCATCTCCCCTAGACTGTCATCCAATGGACAGTCAACCCGGTGAAGAGCGCCGGGCATCCGCTTTTGCCCTCTCACTTCGGTGAAAAACACCTCCGCCACGTGAAGGCAGTGAGTAGGACTTCCTCAGGAGAGGCTATGTAAGACGCACGGTCATATGGGAGCATTTCAAGAGGTGTACGGAGGGGTGGCTAGCCTGCAGCGCAAGACACCCACCCCCGATCATCCTGAGGCTTTGGAGGCATGTTCGGTTAACGCCTCTTTAGGTATCAAATTTGTCACTTTATTGTTTTTTAAAAACTGGGATTTGTATCTTTTGTTTTCTCCCGTTCACACACACAAATATGCACAGAGTAACACAAAGTTAAGATGCACACATGTGTTCCAGAGGAAACGTTAATTCTCCCATCAATCCCCTTTATCGGTAACTGGTGTTAACACTGTAAGCGTGATGTCTGTTGTTTCCATTTGAAACTCTCGTGCTTATCAAAAATAAATTATCTGAACGAAATCGCAAGAGATAATCACCGCTGCCAAGTCCGTCAGCATCGGATACGGTAAACTTCTCCAATATGGTTTCCCAATTAACACATTTACCTTACCTCAGTAATAAAACCACCTGTTAATCTGACTACATTTGAGCCTTTTACCTTTTGTAGTAAACTCAATAACAATGGCCACAGAATGAGATGTTAGAACTATGCCGAAGAACATTAGCAGACGGAAATGGTGATGAAATTTTACGAAAGAGAGAATATCAGGATGGTATGTGGTAGAATTCTCGAATTTTGATCCAAACAAAGAATTTTATAGCCTGTAAAGTTTGAATTTACAATTTATGAGGCCTATCTTTTCTAGCTCTTCCTCCTTAGAGAAATAAGGCAGCATAGATAGATTTCTGGTCGTCCAGAAGAAACTTTATTGCCACCCCACCCCTTCAAGCTAATAGCAATTTGAGTGCCACAGTGCTCAAACTCTATTCTTATGTCAACGGAACTCAGTAACTGGAAAGAGATTCCTCATGTACCAAACTGAGAGCCACACATATTTTGATGGCTGATGAAACCATTCAGTCGTTCAAGCTGACAACCAGGATTCGAGCCAAGAGCTTAGTGCTTAGGTTAGTAAGTTACATCTCCACTCGAGCACTGATATTTTTGTCTTGCAAGGCATGGAAAAAGCTTTCAAGACAATTCACACCAGATATGACTACGCGGAAACCTCGAAGTTTTAGAAGAATGCTCAAGAAGACATCCGTAAGGAGATTAGTGGAACTTTTGCCAACCCACACACCAGGTGATGCATGTACAAAAATCTATAATCACACATACAATGAATAATAATACTCAGAATGTTATACGTTGTTCATAGAAAACAATAGGACCACTCTATTTCCATCATTAAACTTTAAAATATCTCAATAATAAGACAATAATAACTCACGATGGAGGTATTCTGACACCGTTGTCAATTTGTACCAAATTCATTGCGTAAGCAGAAATCAAACAAATATTGTCATCTTCCCAAGCCTTAAGTGAATTAGCACGCTCTTCTGCTAGTAGTGATGATTCTGCGCGTTGAATGAATGCAATAGTAGTAGCCAAACGCTTAGGAAGATCTAAAATCTTCAAATGTGATGTATCAGTTGATGATTCACTAGGCTCTGGATTTGGAATTTCAAAAGAGTCACCTTCTGGAAGACGAACTAACGACCAGTGTTCTGTTACTGTGTAAACATCTTGAGGCAAATCGAAACCCCCAGAAACACCAATAGCAAGTTTTTTAGGTTTTTCTTGAGTGCCATGCTCTAAAAAAAATAATAAATAAACCGACGAATGAGTAAATATGATAAATACATTTTATAGTGAATTCAGTGTTAAGAAAAAAATCGGTGCATACCAGAGTCCATGATAGTAAAAAGCAAGAAGGAAAACGTTACTCAATAATCTTCTATATGATTGGACACTACTAACTAGTGTGACGTGTCTATTCCTCTCTTTGGTGCAGACTGAATTCTATCATTCAGGTTTGATGGCGAGCTACCTAGAAGGGTGGCCACATTGTAACCCTGACTGATAGAATTCAGTCTGCACCAAAGAAAGAACTAGACACATCACACTAGTTACTAGTGTCTAATCAAAATACCCACTACAGTCTTACAAGAGGTCGATCGCAGGCCCGAATAGCTCAGTGGTAACGTCTCTGACTGCAGCACTGGGTGACGCGGGTTAAAATCTCAGGAAAATGAGTTTCTTCACGATTTTAGATACACCTTGCTGACTGGTGAATGCCAAATAGCACGAGACCTAGGTCCAAGACTTCCTTCCGATTGCGTCCAACTATCTAATCTTCTATATGTTCATGAACTTAGTGATTCACACCTGTTCTATGAAGGTCGGCCTGGCTACTCAAGACAAATAAGGTTCAGTGGGATACAAACTCATGTACCTAGACTAATTTCAAGTCGACTACCTAAACTAACCCTCTACAGATTCAGAGTAAAAAACAATACCCCAATGTTTTTTCGGTGATGTGTCTGTCTGCCTGTCTGTTCTTGACATAGAACTTTGCACTGATGTGCGATAGTTCAAGTCGCCACACTCCCCCATGTACCACACAAAGCAAGAGAAGAAAGTAGAAGAAATGCATAATACAGACAGTACACAGAGACGTGAGACAAAGGAATAGTAATATCGAAGAACAATATAGTTTCATTGGAAATCATAAGTCACAGGGAGTGAATGCATCTGCACTAGCTATTGAGAACAATGAGTTTGAGCCGTGTCACCAATTGTTTCCAACCGTTTGTTTTTACCGTCCCAAACCAGTCAGGAAGTCTACACTTTCCTACGTGGCTAGCTTAAACTAACTGTTGTAGATTTCACTGACTGGTGCCATGTTTTGGTTTGACCACCGCTAGCTCTTTTCCAGACTGACCCTATATCAGCTAACATTGCCCGTCGATGAGGCGATGACTAGGCATACGTAACACATGTCCTAACCATCTCAGTCGATGTAACTTCACAACCTCGTCGATTGATTTCCCCTGCTTACCTAGAACTCGCCGCCTAACCTCAATATTGCTCACCTTATTATACCACTTCAAACGGGAGATAGGACGCAGGCACCTATCATCAAAGACAGCTCATCTTTTCATGTCTTCCTCTCTCAATGGCCAGGTCTCACATAGAGGAGGACGGAGCGGACTGCTGAGCAGCAATGCTGTGTAAATGTAAAGTAACCGACCAATTACTCCACTATTTATTGGTAAGTTGCACCAGCTGAATATTGCAAGCAAAGACGAGTCTCACTAGATTTATAGTAACCTTGCACTGTATCTACAAATATTTATTCCTCAAAACATAAATTGATCTCTTGGTGTCTGAAATAAAATGAAGTACTAAACACAATATGTATAGAACTTTAGATAATTTGATAAAAGTATTAAAAACAGGCACTAAAAGAAGATAATGAATTTAGTTCATTCCAGGAAAGTTACCAGTGGGTCGCCTCATCTAACCTTAAATACGTTAATCAATTTCTGGTTTAAACTGCTGTGTTGTTTCTTATCACATGCAACAGACCTCTTATTCAGGTGTGAAAATACGTGGGTTGCAATACTTTAAAGTTATAACAAATCACGTTTGACATTTCATCTATAATTTACTTCAATAGTTGTAGGCACAGAGGGCTACAGTCGAGTGCCACGTTTATTACCAGGGTGACCGTGATAGAAAATTCTTATTTACAACAACTAAATGAAGTTCTCCTGATTGATTTACCATGCGACCCACATGAATAACTTCAGTCTACTGGGAAACGGAAGTAACTGCCATACTACGTTCATATAAGATCAAATGAACTTGGAACTTATAAGTGGGAGTAAATACTGAATGCAAATTAGCACGTACCCTTTTCTTTGTATTGTTTCTCAATTTTGTACCGTAAGAATGCACGACAACCAGTCTTTTCGTGGTACAGCCTCAATATTTTGGAGCCAATGGCAACAAAGTGTCGCATACAAATATAAACTCCATTTTCCGTCTCAGGTGTTTCAAAGTAGAAAGGGCATTCATCCTTGAAAACCTTATCTCCATCATTAGGAACTCTCACATGCGACGCTAAATCATCAAATATTGTCGGACCCATGGAGAATATATTGATAACTGGTGTATAATTAGGTGAAACTTTTTAAAATATGGCAAATACCAATCGCAGTCTTGGTTCGATGATAAATTAAAATATCGGGTGAAACTACAAAGTTGACAGTTAACGGGAAGCAGAAATCACCGAGATACTTCCCTAGCCCGCCAGTAAAATGAAAACCAGACCAGATGTCCTTCACGTGCAGACCGCCACGACCTAGACAGTCTTCGGTTAATTAATAAAAGCACGCTCAATATAAAGTAAGCCTATATACCAGTTAGTTTCACTGAGACAGCTAGTTTCAACGCTTAGCCAGGATACCTGGCGAACTATAAAGAAGGTAACCAAAAGAAGGTGCTCAAACCGAGGTCGAATAAAATACCTGTGGGATTTGGATTCTCTCACAGACTAGTCAGCGACTGGAACTTCTTACCTGATTCAGTAGTAACAGCTCCATCGGTAAACGCTTTCAAATAATAGTAAGATCTATGCAGAGATAGATATCGCATGAAGTGAAATAAGCAATGAGAACCTTCTATCCCTATAATATGAATATGAATCTGACAAAACAATCTAGGTGGTGGAGTGCAAGTTGGATCAGGAGGGGATAACTGGAGGGTAATATCACTTGCTTGATTAGTTTACTTTATGGAGAAGGCGAACTTTTTTGACAAACTGCAGTCTTATGGAGACTTCACGTGTCTCAGGATATCAATACAGCCTATTTTCATGTAAAACTGTTATTTCACAAGGGAAACTTGTCAGTACATGGAAATCACCAACAAATGCTAACAGAACCTTCTATGAGGAACACCAATTATGATGTAGATGCTTCTTTTCACTGTACGTCAGTTTGAAAAGGAATTGCCGTAAGTTGAAAGTTTATAAATTTTTAAGGGAAACTTCATTTACTAGCCATTTGTAACAAATATACGTATGCATGTATAAAGGTTACACTGCTAGGAATGTCCTCAGATATCGATGTATTTGGTGACTTAATGGAAAGCACTTGTCATGAAAGCCTTAATTTGCAACCAACTGTATGATTGAGGCGGGCCGAAAGCAAGGCAATGGCACGACTACAGTTATTGCAAAACATCTCAAAGCATAACAGCAAAAAAGGAAGGAAGGTGGCGCATGTTGATCAGCAGATATGATAGTCGTCACAGATGTGAATCGCCAGATCTGTGGGACAGCAACATGCGTTTCTGACACCTCCAGAACTAAAACTTCAGACAATCTTTGGCAAATAAAGGATTGTACGGATCTAACATATAAAAGTGCAGACGGAGTAAGCAGTCGCCGGGGGGGGGAATGATCTATACATCCGAGATGACATATGTCAATGTATCTGAAGATTGAACGATCAATCCATGGTTGTTTGCTCAAACCCAACTCCTCCATATTTTTCGCGGGAGTCATCAATCCAGCAGTCGTAGTCTCATCGTTCGCCGTTCAGTGGGAGATAGAAAACTGTTAGAAGTATCACTGTGATTTGTTGTTATAACATTTATTCTTAGACTTGTGTATAATAACCTCATTGTTGGTTACATATTAGCGCAAGAATAGAGGATTTTCAAGTCGCCAGTCTGTGTTTTGGTTTTTTGCGTTGGTTATCACACATTGTTTCTGGAAGTCTTCCGGGGACAGCGTGAGGTCCAGCGTGGTACGTTCAACGTTTGCATTACATTTTTGCGTGATTCGTTACATAAAATCTATTTTGTTGTAACACTTTCACAAGTACTATACTTCTTCCGTACCTGTAACCATTAAATCCATTTCTAATAGTTATGGTTAATCAAAGTATAAAGCAACGAAACCAATCCCATGTAAACCTGGATACTAATTTAACGCCCTTGATTGCTACATCGAGCAACACGCCACCCACAAAAGGTTATAGTGACCCAACTAACCCACTTGTATGCCGTAAGTGTCAAGCCGAAAATGAATAAAAAATCTAATAACAGCAAATATTAGCACTACACCTAAATATTCAGTATACTCTGCAATCAGCCACGTCTCGTAAACCGTCAATGCACACCACTTGCTACGCTGGGACTCACACTATCAATCAAATCTCAAGAACCGTTAATGCCCAGCTCTTGCTACGCTCGGGCCCACGCTGTTCTTCGAAGATTTCAGAAACGCTTAGTTATAACGGACGAAAAAACCAAAACACCGATTGGCCGCTTGAGATTTCTTTATTGTTACACCAACATATAAAAATATAACTGAACTAAGGTCTGTGAACAAATATTACAATAATAAATCACAATATTACTTCTGACGATGTTTCACTCTTCTTTCTGAACAGCGACCGATGAGACGATGACTGTCGTATTGATGCCTCCGCGAAAATTGGGGAAGTTGATTTTGAGCAAACAACCAAGAATTGATCGTTCAATCTTCAACTCCATTGACACTCCCCGGCAAAAAAGGGATCCAACCCTTTTTTCCTTCACGACCAATACACGTTGACTTGGATGCCATTGCGAGAACCTGGGTCACACGGACAGAGCTGAAATGGAAAACAAACAGAAAAGCCAACACACCACAAGCATACCCACAGCACAATCTCACACATCGCTGACGACCTGCGCCTCCAGACAGAGACCTCCTCTTGACATCTTGCAACACAATCGCCACTTGCTAGAATGACTCTTGCAGAATGCAACGTGACCATAGCACCAACTCATGATACTCTACGCACATCCTCTTATCTACTCACTACCAATTACCACTGAAATCGCTTGTCACTCATTCTGCCTCAGTTCTAGTAGCGGTGACGCATGCGAGCCTCAGTCGTTTACACTCTTTCTCCCCGGCGTGTCGGACCGCAGCTAACAATTATCTCCGTGTGCATTTCATTCTCAGCAATAGCCTAGCCTCCCGGCGTATACGACCCATCTGCTGTCCTTAACATCAATCAATTCATTCATGGATGTAGAAGACTCGAAACAACTTCAGAAATAATCACGACGAAAATTTTAACAAAATTACGCAATAACAACAAGACACGAAAACAACAAGTAAACACAATGAATCCAAAATACACCAATTGATATGACACACCACACGTATATACAAATAGTACAAACAAACTCGCCGATCATGTCTTGGTGGAATTCCTTTGAAGAATTGCAGGACTTACACCAGTACGCCTACAACCCTTCTCAGGTTGACGATTGTAAGTTGTGGAATGTACGGACACAAACAAGATTAACCAACAATTACATCAATTGGAACTCACACAATTATTTAACACAAACATATGTACAATCAACACATCAAATGTTGTGGATTCTGCATGACAAACTACCCTTGAAGAACTGTAGGACTTACAGCAGTACGCCTACATTCCTTCTCAGGTTGATGATCCAAGTGGAAGTCGTCCGGACACAAACAGAATTACCAACAGCTAGATGACAAATGATATCAATTCAGTATATACAATATGAACATATGTACAAAATCACACACCAAGCACATTGGACTGCTCATTGATGCGCTACCCTTTGAAGAATTGTAGGACTTACAGCAGTACGCCTACAACCCTTCTCAGGTTGACGCTCTAGGTTGGAAAATCGTCGCAGAGTTCATTTGCTAACTTCCTTCTATCAGCTATATCCTCAAATCTGAACGGCAACACGCCCATGTCATTGTATCGTAGAATATAGATGACGAACAAACACACGACATATCTCATCAACCAAGTGTAGAAACAGAGTAATTTACACCAAAGATAATAACATTCAAATAGTAACTTGAAACTAGAAATGCCTTTATTCGTGCAAGTCAATTTAACAATTACTCTCTCGTTTACACTTGGCTTATCCTCACTAAACTGACCATTGATATTCGTCCTTTCAAACGAACTGATACTAGCATAGTCATTGCACAAGATACTTGAGTTGATGGCGTCTTTTTCATTGTGGATGACAGCACCAACGACGACTGATTGATATCAGTTGATGAACTTAGCGGTGGATCAAAAGCTGTTGTTGCTCGACTTTCAGAAAGTTGTCTACCTGCAAGACCACCACCACTGCTGTCTTTTACTATCAGCTCAGGTTTAGCACTAGCATCTGATGATAGGTGGGCTACATGCTGATCAATTACACTGACGGTCTCACAAGTATGCATGCCTTCTGCAACTGCATCTGCATTCAATTCTACTTCACGTTGTAGTTGTACAGAACCTTTATTTAACTTAGCAGTAGTAGGCATTCCCTCATTTCATCATGATCAACCAAAGACAAATCTGCACTATCATGATCATTATCACAAATATTCAATTTACCGTCAAGTTCATCATTTTCAAACTCTTTAATAACAGAAGTAGACAATTTTGGTTCCTCCTCACAAATCACTAAAGGTTTTATACTTCACTCTGACTAGTTATACTTTGTAAACTTTTGGAGTCAGAACTGCACTCTGAAGCAGTAACTCTATTCTGTGACACTCTATTCAACAATGGCTTACCAGTTGCAACTACAGACTTCTTCACCGCACCGTTATCGTCACACAATTCGGAGTCAGACCTGGAGTTTACATTTAGCTTATCACTGAACTTGCTCACTGGTTCACAGTTCACCTTTGTATGCACCTCTTGCAAACGTGTAAACACAACCGTGTTTGTCTTGCATCTTGTAACTTATCTGTTGAGGATGTACTACGAAACCTGTTACACTCACTAGGTCTATATGCATTACTAGACATCATGGAGCCTTCTCGATATCCACCTCTCTGAGGCCCTTTAGTCATCAATGATTGCATTTTGCTCTCAGACTGCTCTATTCTAGGGGTGAGATGCAATAGACTGGCGAACTTGCTCATAGATTGATTGACACTATCTTTTACCAGTTTCAGGATATCATCAAACTTTGGCTCGATACCCTCATCCTCCATACGGGAGCTTATCTTCACCCACTTCCTTTGCAGTCGAGTAGGTAGACGTCTTGCTATTACTTCTAGTATAAAACTCGAGTTGAGGTCACTCATGC